CCTCCTCCTCGCCGGGGCAGCGCTGGGCTTCGCTCCTTTGTGCTTCGTCGTCGTCCCCGATTTTTTGAATTGCTCTCGCTGGCGCGCCGCTGCCGCCTTCTTCGCGGAGGGGGTGGGGGTCTGCGATTCGGCTGGTGCCCTCCGCAAAGCTGCAGCCACCGCTAAAGCATTGGATCCCTCAACGTACTGCGAGAGCCCGGTGTACAGCCCGGACCTGTGCCCCAACATGATCGCCGCGCAGGCCAAGCTGGTCTACCAGCTCAACAAATACTACACGGAGCGCTGCCAGGCCCGCAAGGCGGCCATCGCCAAGACCATCCGGGAGGTGTGCAAGGTCGTGTCGGACGTGCTGAAGGAGGTGGAGGTGCAGGAGCCGCGCTTCATCAGCTCCCTGAGCGAGATCGACGCCCGCTACGAGGGGCTGGAGGTGATCTCGCCCACCGAGTTCGAGGTGGTGCTCTACCTCAACCAGATGGGCGTCTTCAACTTCGTGGACGACGGCTCCCTGCCGGGCTGCGCCGTGCTCAAGCTGAGCGACGGCCGCAAGCGCAGCATGTCCCTCTGGGTGGAGTTCATCACCGCCTCGGGCTACCTGTCTGCCCGCAAGATCCGCTCCCGCTTCCAGACGCTGGTGGCCCAGGCCGTGGACAAGTGCAGCTACCGGGACGTGGTGAAGATGATCGCGGACACCAGCGAGGTGAAGCTCCGCATCCGGGAGCGGTACGTGGTGCAGATCACGCCCGCCTTCAAGTGCACCGGGATCTGGCCCCGCAGCGCGGCGCAGTGGCCCATGCCCCACATCCCCTGGCCCGGCCCCAACCGGGTGGCGGAGGTGAAGGCGGAGGGCTTCAACCTGCTCTCCAAGGAGTGCTACTCGCTGACGGGCAAGCAGAGCTCGGCCGAGAGCGACGCCTGGGTGCTGCAGTTCGGCGAGGCCGAGAACCGGCTGCTGATGGGCGGCTGCAGGAACAAGTGCCTCTCGGTGCTGAAGACGCTGCGCGACCGGCACCTGGAGCTGCCCGGCCAGCCCCTCAACAACTACCACATGAAGACGCTGCTGCTGTACGAGTGCGAGAAGCACCCGCGGGAGACCGACTGGGACGAGGCGTGCCTGGGCGACCGGCTCAACGGCATCCTGCTGCAGCTCATCTCCTGCCTGCAGTGCCGGCGCTGCCCCCACTACTTCCTGCCCAACCTAGACCTCTTTCAGGGCAAACCCCACTCGGCCCTGGAAAGCGCTGCCAAACAGACCTGGAGGCTAGCCAGGGAAATCCTCACCAATCCCAAAAGCCTCGACAAGCTATAGGGCTGGCACCCCCCGCGCGCAAAACGCGCCCTCCGCGAACGACAACAGCGCCTAAAAACTTTTTATTTAACGCGAACGCCGACGGGAAGAGGCGGCGAGAGAAACGCGCCCCCGCCACCCCCCACCCACCTGCAGCTCGGCCTTTAAAAACTTGCCGACGGTTTTCCCGGCATGAACTCTCCGCCGGGCACGGAAGAAGGGAAGAGCCTCTCCTCCCGCCCTCCCTCCAATGTGAATTTTTAAAAAGTCACAAAAAGAAGCGATCGGACTTTTGCAACTTCAAAACGAAACCCAAAAGGTACATTTTCCAATCCATGTATAGTCCTTTTCTTATTCTCTCTCGTTTGCCTGAATGTTGTCACCAAGTGAAAAATTATTTAACTATATGTACAAATCTCCCTTTAAAAAAGTTTTACTGATGTTAAATGTATTTCGGTGCCAAGGTCAGACTATGTGCCCCACGACTGACTTGTTGCAAATAGTAATAAAAATATTACTTTAACTTTACGCTGACTTCTCGTGAATGGTTCTTAAATGCAGGCAAGTAGGTGCTTTCGGAACCTCCGAAGTAAAATTTTTTAAAGAAACGCAAACACGAGACGGAAAGATAGTCGAAACGCGACACCTAGCCGAAGCCTTAGCTTGGCATATTCACTGACGTTTTCTAAACTTCCCTCTAGTTTCGAGAAAAACAGTGCACCTAAGAAAAAAAAAAAATCGTATCTATTCTGTAGTTCAGCGTGTGACAACATCTGCTATATTTCCATGACTTCCAGCTTCCCCTCTAAGTCTTGGGAATAGACGGAGCGTCGCACAGTAGCTCGCCAGAATTTAGACAGAATTAGAGCATGCCGTTTCCTGCCCTACGGTCGTCACCTTTATTTTTTCCCTTATAGCTCGCTTTCCTTTCTTCCCGGTAAATCTGGAGCGCTTGTATTCTGTTATTTTGTTTTAAAAATTCATCGCTATTTGCTTTCGCTTCCCAGAGCGAACGCGCTATCCGTTTGACTTTGACACGGAGGCAGTATAGATCTACCCTGAATAATTCATGCACTTTAGAGCAACCGGTCGATATTTTTTTTAAACAAACATTTGTTTTCCCCGGATTTTTAAGTACAGCATAAAACCGCACCGCAGCGTAGCCAGACGAGCAGATAAGCAGCAACCCGCAGGGAAAGCAGCCGGTCCCGCACGAACGGGCGGTCGCTCCCTGCGCGGCACCGCCGCCCTCCTTCCCCGGCCGAGCCCCCCCCGCCCAAAGCGAAGCTCTACCCCATTCCCTGTATTTCGTGCTGTAGAGATTTCGCTCTAAGTTTGCTCAGAACGACTTAGAAATATTTGCCGGATTGTTAGCGGGAACGCGTTTCTGAGCTTTAAAACCCGTTAGCATTAGCTGCTCGAGCCGCCCGAAAGATTTCAAAGCCGGCTCGGAGCGTTTCGAGCAAGTTTTCGTGTCCTTTCGGGGGGGGGTGGGGGTGGTAAAAATGTAAGTTCTCGCCCCAAAGGACTACTTCCGTTTCTTTGTGGACGGATCCGGAAAGAAATAGCCATTCAAATGTGAGTTGCTTTTGTCTTTTGAGTTAAAGACGAAATTAACAAGTCCGCCCGCAGCCTGGGAAATGAACTTCCAGCAAAGCCGCGGCGGCGGCGGCGGCGCAGGGGCGACCCTCCCCAGCGGCAGGCGGGCACCCCCGGCCCCCGCCGGAGAAAGCAGGGCTGCTTTATCCTGAGCCTCTTCAACCCCGGGCATTAAAAGCCCGGGTGCGTTTCACAAGTTTCTCGGAGAGTCGTCAGAGCGCTTTCCCCCAGCGCTGATCCTGGCTCACCTGGCAAAATGGGTTTAGCCCGCGGGGCTGTACCCTTTCCTTCTGAAAACAGCCCGGGGTACGAGTATAAACTCTGATCTTATCGCTGCTGATGCTATCTCTACGGCAGGTTTTTCTTCAGGAACTTGTCACAATGTTTTCTTTTCAGTAGTTTAGACAAATATACAAGCGACTTAAATTTATCAAACGGTGAAGCCTCATTAATTAAACAGGCCTTCTGAGCTACAGCGGATTAGGATTTTTTTTTTTTCCGAGGGGCATTTTCTACAGCCGCTCTAGGCACCGATATCAAGGTACAGTAACTTCAGCAGAGGGTGGGGCAGGAAGGCGTTAATGCTTGAAAGCAAGCTACATTGTAACCTTGTTTTTTAAAATCAAAATATTCAGATTTGATTTTTAGCCCCCCCCCAAGACATTACAAAAAGTCTTTTTTTCTCTTAAAACCTCCAGCTAAAGTAGCATCACAAGTAGAATATAAGAGGTGAAGCCTGTATTTCATGTAACCAACTCCTCCTTTTATAGGAACCCAAATAAAATCTCTCAGATAATCAAACCAGAATGCCTACTTACAGTTAAGAAAACAACCACTACCAAATAGTTGAAAACAGGAGAAAAGAAAGCAAGCTGAATATATGTTCCATGTCAATGTCCCCATAAAATATGTAACAGGAATGGTAAGAATTAGTAACCGTACTCAAACGCCCTATGTGCTAAACATGGAAACCAAAAATGCAGACTAATGCAGATCGGTAGAGTTTTCTCATGCTAATGCAATACAAAGCAGAACATTTCAGATGGAAAATGCAATATAGTAACATACCAAACTGTCTTTACATTTTATGTTTATATCCTTTTTACCATTAAATGTTTAAAAAACCCCAACACTCTGGAAGGAGTAAGCATATCAACATTTTAAGAGCTATCTCATGCTTGAAATAATTTCAAAAATATTGCAAAAATACTTCAGGACCAAAAGAAAAGTTAAATCTCATTTATGGTATCACATAAAAATCACAATCCTAGTTAATTACGTATATTAAATTCTAGCTCTAAGAATTTGAGAGCATTGTTTTTCAAAATAAATTTATTCCTTGATAGGATTTGATAATCCCAGCTTTCAGACCCACTGATGCCATTTTAAATACAGACAAGAGCAATTTACTCAATAGGAACAAAGAACTGAACTGGCGCTTAACACACAAGGTATTCTCTACAGAGAAGCAGAAAACCCCTACTTCTTCCAGTGACCTTTTTTCCCCTTCACAAGGAAATTATTACCTTGTTTAATATTTAAAAAAAAAAGACCCACCACTGTGCTTAAATTGGGATGTGAGCTTATTTACCAATCATGTCATACTTTTGAAATGTTGCTGTAATGCTGTAGAAAACATTCAAGTGCAACTTTATTAAGCTAATCGCACAATATACTGTCTTTGAAATAGGAATTTTACTTAACGTTACTTATTTTAAACAATGGACTAGTAATCAAGTAACTGGGAGCAAATAAAGTTTGTGGAAATTAGCAAGTAGGTTCAGAAACGTATTTTAAGAGGGCAATTACGTTTTCTGCTTAGGCACAATAAATAATAACAGGCCCTGTAAAATCTGTTATGGAATAATACGATACAGAAGCACTGAAAACTTACAAGTATAGGAAGTTTAGCGCTATGTTACACTGGCATTATATAAAATTAGGAAAGTAAAACAAAGCATTTGGGCTAAAAGCCTCGTTGAACTTTCCAGTATTCACACAGGCCTGTGATTCAAGATGTCTTTATTTAAGATGCCTCCCTGGAGCTTTATTCACAGCAAGCTAATTAACATTCAACTAGGGTCGAATTGTGGGAGGGGGGAGAAAAAGGAGAAGGAAAGGAGGTGTCACCTACGTGAAGTTCAATAACATATATGGTCAGTCACAAACTTATTAAAGCAGGAACACTGCGGACCAATAGAGGTAAAGGAAGTCGAATGAAGAATTAAAGGTCTTGGGTAATTTGTCATCATCTCTCAGAGCTCAGGGTCAATGATCTCTTACCTTCGGGTCGATTTTCTTAAAACTGGGATCTTCTTCATCCACCTCAAAGTAGAGCTCAGAAAGAGTGATGGAAAGAGTGCCTTTCACTACTACTGAGGGTGCCACAAGCTGAGCTGGTGTGCTTAGGGCAACTGGACCTGCCAAAGAGTGAAAACACCAACAATATTCAAAACAGAAAAGAGGATGAGTGCAAATTATTTGCTTTTCAAGCCTAGAAGATTAAAATAAATAAAGCAAAGAGCGTAGCTCTTCCTTAAAAAGCAAAACTCTCTTTTATCCCGGAAAAGAACATATGTAATAGATTTACAGTGTCTCTGTGCTGCTGAACATTGAAGCAGCTACAGTTGCAAACTGATGCATACATTATACGTGCCAGAGCTGGCTTTAGCATGGCAGTATATAGCTTTTACCCAGACGCATTTTCTTTTCGAGAAACTTTGAGAGTTGCATACCTTCTGTTATATGCAATATAGAGAGTGCACACATGAACGCTTAAAATCTTACTGTCAGATGTGTTCTTTAGGTACTGGAGAGTTTCGATAGCTTTCCACAAAGCTGAACATAGCAGTCAAGGCTCAAAGTTGTCTAACTGTAAAGTGTTCCCTCATGGATGCTAGAAATCTATTGTTTAGGCTCTATAACATTGTGTAACCTTAAGGAAAATGTTTTAAAGATGCTTTTGATTCCACATTAAATATTGTTCAAGGATTCCATACAGTGTCAGTGTAGCTCAGGGACTGTGGGAGTAAACAGCCGGAGGGTTGGTTTCCAACTGAATGAATTTTTATTGGAATAATCACATCTCCACAGGGCTTATCACAGGGACAAATCAGACTACTACTGAAAACAATAGGTTCAGCATAGATCTGACACTGCAGAACCTATTATATAAACTAACACATACAGAAAGAAAACAGGTTAGGTTTGTCATCCAGCTGATTAAGAGGTAAGGAAATGAAGTTACTTGGCTGCAGTATTATCTGACTTTTGTAAAACAGTTGGAAGATAGGAAAGTGACATAGACAATTTTGTTTTAATAAAGCATCTATAAATGAGGTACACACGTTCAGGTAATCAACGTGAGAATAACTGACAAAAAATTCAGATGAATTGTCATTTCCATCGATTGTTAGGAGGGTGATGGTCCTTAATCTCGCATCAATCTCAATGTGTGCCACTAGGACAAAAGAAGAGATGCTCTGCTGAGATCAGAGCAGCTTTGCCCTCTATTCCCAACGTACAAATACATTGTGTTTACAGATGGGCATGAGATAGCTGCGGAACTGCCATGATTTCCCAAAGCTCACCCCCACAAATGGATGAAATAAGCAGCTATGTGTTCTTTTGCTGTCTCCCTTTGCCCTCTGTACATTAGCATGTAATCCAGAGGAGAAATAACATTTTTTCAATCACTCGCAGACATTCAATTACAGGGCAAGCAGACAGCTGCAGAAGCTGGGGCAGCCCAGGTCCTGTAGAAGACCCCTGACAATTTCCACTTCATTTCTAACCCACACCACTTTATTAGTGAGGATTACTTCTTAATCCTATTGCCATTGTCAAGATTATATAATTAAACTCCCCTTTCACCTCTATTACAGTATGAATGTATTACTCGAACCAATGAATGAATAATAAAGAGAAGGAAACACGGAGAAGGCTGTTGAGAAGGAAGCTCATGGTAGAAAGTGAAAAAAAAGATTCACATACAGAAAATGCCATGCCATTATTCTCCCGTTACTTTCTTTTACTTCGCTCTTCCTACGCTGGTTTTCTTTTTTTCATTATGCTGCATTTTTAACTTTGCTTTAAAAAAAACTAGAGTGGAATGCAGTTCATGGATAAGCAAACTGCCAATAAATAATCACTTCCAGTAATTTCACTGAATTATCTTATGTATTATATGTATCAATGTAAGATTATACTACTAGCTTCCCAGGGAACCGGAATCATCCAAGAAATGACATTTTTCCCTAAAGTAAATGTACATGGGATACCAGCTAAGAAAGCTGAAGAACACAGAGAAGTTTGCATTTTCCCTGTAAAACCCACGTTCCTCAAATAACAATGGAGATGCTTTATAACTCCCAGTCCCTGAACCGAGGAGGTTACTCTGTTTTTACATTTTGAACTGTACAGAAACGGACCTGCTCCACTCAGGTTGAAACATCAGCAAAGGTTACATGTGACTGAGTAAAAATAATTAAGTCCAAAGATCTGAAGTACTATTTCTTCTTCAGAAAAAAAAGAAGTGAAGTCTAGTAAGACTGTGGTCTGTGGAGAAGGGACTTCAATGGGGGAATGACAAGGGTTTTAAAGGAGTTAAATCCAGTGAGTGTACAAATCCTTCAAACCCAAGTAAATACCCAATACGTACAATTTTGTAAACTCAGGAGAAAAATAAAGTCCTCCAAAGCCTTTAGTTAGAGACAACTTGCCTAATTGTCCACTAGGTCTAATGATTTGAGGAGTGGAATGAGGTAAAAAACAAAGGCAGCCCTTTTCAAGGTAGAGCTACTTTCTCTAAGGAAGGTGTCCTGGAATAGAGACAGCTACTGCAGAAGCAAGAAGATTATAAAAGCCAGAGAAAGAAAATGCACAACTCTCCTCAAGTAAACCCTTGGCATCTGAGGTGCACAGAAAATGATCTTAATGACCCAGTTATGGGGAGGAACAATTTATCAGTGTGCATCCCAAAACACGATTCACTGCAGAGCAGGGAAGATCAGAACTTAAATAGTAAAGAAGCTGAGGAGAAAATTAGATAGCTGAAGTTACCCGTTAAGTTCTCCACTTCTCTTTCCTCCATGAATGACATGATATCGTCGTCGCCTTCCAAGAGAATCTCACTTTCTGAGTTCTGATTTCCTAAAACTTGACTCTTGATGGACTGCTTTCCTTTAACAAGTATATCCTCATCAGGAGCTGAAATGAAAGAGACACGGTGCTGTCAGGTCTCAGAGGCAACAGTGACAAAGGAGTGTAATTATTATTTTTTTTAATGAAAGTTCAGGAAGAAAACCGTTCAGGACTAGCTGTGGGAAGTACCTGTCTTAATCCTATGATGTTAGGACACATCTAGTTTTAATCCTATTAAGCCTGCTCAAAATTATCCAGAGCACACCGCAGCGTTTTAACTCCACTTCGAGTGTTTATGACCGAGGGGGAAAGGATTCAACAAGCCTCTCTTCCCCTGCAGCCTTCCTTCGGAAGTTGAGCTCTCCTGCTGGAGGCAGGTCCCGATTGCCTGGCGCGTTAACCTGACTCTCGAACCCAGGGTTCAAGCATCGGTTTTGCTCTGGCGGCAGCGGGCAGAGACAGTTCCCCCGACAGGCAGGGGACCACCGCCGGGCCGAAACCGAGCAACGCTCCGGAGAGACAGCGCGGAGGACGCCCGGGCGGGCCAGCGGTGGCAGGACGGTGGCAGGACGGTGCCCGGCGGGCCAGGAGCCG